TATCCACAAAAATTGGTTGTGGGGCATCAGACGCCTCAACCTTTTTATTCAATTGATCATGCAAGTCATGGATATCTAAGCCAAATTGGTCTATCTCTTGCCTGAGCTCAGTTCTTGCTTCTATTAGTTGTTCTGTCATATTTGAAAGACCATCACGGAGAAACTAATAAGATTTTATAAGTTGAGCTTGTTCCTCTAGCCAAGATTGGCTCACTATATCTGCTTCTCAAAATTATTTTCTGGTGGGAGCTCGCTCTCTTCAACCACTTCCTCCGCCTCGGCCTTCATTCTCATGATTGCTGCACTAATTCTTTGTGCAGCCTTTCGATTTTTATCTTGTAGCTCGACTACTTGCCTCAGAATATCCCTAAAATATGCATCGCGTTCCATATCCTGTACTTCATTGCTCCTATCAAACTCACAAACATTATTAGAAACATCATAATAAGAGCTCTGAGAAGGATAATGGGAATTAGGACAACCATCCCAATGGCCACCTTGATCACCACACATATTACAAATTTTTCACCCATAAGATTGAGATTCACAATTTTGCCACAAGTGTGGTCCTCCACAATATGGACAAGGATCACCATATAAAGAATAATCAATATTCGACCAATTATTATTCCAAGATGCCATATCAACAAAGACAATAAAACATTAAATTAAGTTAAAAATAAAAAAATAAAAACTTGAATTGGCAAGAAGTAAAAATCCAATCTAGTAGAATAGTTAATTTCTAAGTCCCCGGCAACGGCACCAAAAACTTTTTGCGACCAAACGCACACGCAAGTATACGCGGTCGTCAAGTAATAAAGTGAATAAAAGTCGGATGTCGATCCCACGAGGACTTGTGATTAACTATAAACTAAATTAGATTATCCTAATTATCTAAACAAGAATTTAACCTAGAAGTATTTTGTTCTAAACTAATTAAATAAGAATATAAATAATGAACTTTTAACAGAGAGAAAGAGCAGATTTTTATGATATCAATGTAATGAAAACGATCTAGGGTTATGGGCTATCTAACATTCCTATTGTATTCTTCAATTGAACTGACTAACTAATTTATCTAGTTTATTGGTTGACAGGGTTAATATTGCTCATAAGAATCTGTCGAGTTCTTACTCGCCTATTCAAGATAACCTAACGCCTATATGTCTATGGAGTTAGAATCAACAAGAACGCATTTACAATTCCTGTATTTCAACCAAGCAAGGCAATTAGGTATATGTCTATCCTAATTGTGAATCCGTTCCCCGAGGCCCAGGGTCAAGAACTTGCTCTACTCAATCCTATATGCAATCTAGAATTCCCACTTTCGAGTTCAACTCTAGATTCGTAGATAGTATTCAATTGGTGATCAAGCAATCTAATAATTAAGTGCAAGATTGAATAAATAAACCAATATGATAAACTAAGAAATCAAAATCAATATCCGGATAACAATAGTCATGAAAGAACCACAACCCTAGAACGTGAAGTTTAGCTCCACATAGACATGGTAGCAAAACAACAAATCATACAAAGAAACATAAAAATTACTAAGTTTGGTGGAAGAAAAGATGAAACCCGGCCTCCACGGCGGCTCTGTGCTTGTGTTTTTCTCTCAAAAATGTCCTCTTCTCTCAAAATACCGTTTTTCATGTATATATACCAAATAGGGTTGGGCCCAAATAATTATATCTTCTTCAATGTGAAAAAGGACACTTTTTCCGGGTGACTAGCGGGAGCTCGCGCATCCTTCGCGCTAGAGCTCGCGCATGACTTCTGACATTCTGCCTCCAGCTCCTTAACTCGCGCGACTTCGCGCATGAGCTCACGCTAGAGCTCGTTTTTCACCTTGTTCTGTTTGGAAAAACGTAAAACATGAAAGTTGTAGCCTATTGAGTTAGCTTTCCAACCATATATTGTGGAGCTAAAATGGAGTCCTGATCAAAAAGTTATATCTATTTTACTAGACAGTGCGCAATATTCCTACTGGAGTCTTCGTTCTCTCTAACTATCATCCGTTGACCCCCAAACGCGATCCCGGCTTAATTCCTTGAACTTTTACTCAAACTTTAAAGCTCCAAATCATTTGAATTCATTCCATAACATCTACATAGCTCGGAATCATCCTACAAGGCATAAAACACACCATTAGTGTAAAACACTATCGATTAAAGCGCAAACTCAATTAAAGTGTAGTAAATTAGAGTATAATGAGCGACTAAAATATGTAATTATAGCCTATCATCAAAGGTGAAATTATTTACCTAGAGGGATAGGGATCAATTTTCACTTAGTATATTTTTATCTCCATTTTTTAGTAGTGCACCCACGTGCTAGAAATCCTAGATTGCCTCTATCTCCATGTGATCTATAAGTTACGGGTTCGAGTCGTAAAAATAGTCACAAATACTTATATTAAGGTAGGCTGTCTATATCACACCCTACAATCTGCATGAATACGGAATACTTTGTGCAGCAAACTGTCTTTTTTCTCTTTGTAGAAGTGTCATGTTACATAAACTTCTCGATATAGACCTAACGGAAGTAAATAAAGCTAATTTGGGAAAAAGAATCTCTCTTCTCGACATCTATCTCTCGTTCTGTCCAAATCAATCGCAAATTTCTTACGCCCTCTGTTCCAATTTATGTGAACTTGTTTGATCAGGTACGGAGTTTAAGAAAAAATAAAAATTTTTAAAATGTGATCCTAAACAAGTTTAAATGGGATCCAGAGTATTTGTGTGGTTATAAAAGCTTGTCATTAGGGTTGAATTGGAAGTTTAAGTTAAATTGTTTCTAAATTTAGAAAGGAGTCATTCTGTTTGGAACGGACCAAAAAGAAAATAGGTTCACATAAATTGGAACGAAGGGAGTATTATATTATACGTACGGTTATAATACCTTTGCATCTTTATAGTCTCATTTTTTTTCACTGCTTTCCTTTTCATTGACCTTTCTCCTTTTATTTGGAAGGACTTTATTTACCTTCTTTTGGAAAAGCCTTATGCAACTTGCAGCCTATCTCTCGGCGCCACTTATTCTTTTGTATTTAGTACGTAATTTTTTAGTTAATTTACTATTCAAATGCTCCCAAGTTTATTGCTCGTAACTTATATCATTGTGTATTTAGATAGAAATTGTTTGAGCATAGTTATTTTTCAAGTACAGATTCGTGTTTATTATATGTCGTTTTAATTTTTTAACAGGTGATTAGGTTCTTTTGACAAGTGAGGTTATTAGTTCTTTTTTTGTTAGTATTTCAATAAATTATTTGTTTTTTTTATTTAATGTGTTTTTATGTTTAGTGTTACTTATCAATCTATAAAAGTATAATGTTAATTAGAAGATTAAAGTAAGATTTCTTATAGTTTAAAGAAAGTAAAACGAGGGACTACCATTTCCTTTGGAAATTATTTCTATTTCAAATTAAAAATACAGATTAATTTTGTATTTTATAATTTCTCTTAAAGAGCAAGACTTCAGTGAGACATTGTTATATTCCCATAACTTTTTACTTTTTTTTGCTTTGGTTTCTTATTCGCTGTTCAATACTTTCTCCGTTGATGTGAATTTATTTTCTTTTTGGTCCGTTCCAAAAAGAATGATCCATTTTAAATTTGGTAATAATTTAGCTTAAATTTACTACTCTACCCTTAATGAGAAGCTTTTATAATCACACAAATACTTTGGGCCCCTTTTTGACTTGTTTATGACCACAAATTCCAAAAATCTTTATTTTTCCTTAAACTCCGTGTCCAGTCAAACAGGTTCACATAAATTGAAACGGAGAAAGTACTTGGTTTGGAATCCGATTAGTTTGTATCCGGGCAAAGTCTTACTTTGGAGGGTAGATCACTTTTTATTAAAGACGATTTCATACCCAAAACTTGAACCCGAAAGTTTCTTTTGCTTCATGCAATAGAATTTTTCTTTTTAAAAGAAATCCCCGCTCGTACACCTGTAACGCTCCAAATTATCTGTTGGTATATACTACCCTTTAATGATCCAAGTGTCATTGCCTTTTGCAAACATGTGGCTAAAGAACTCTCTTCGTGGATACTTTCTATCGCACATCAAGAAACCGTATTGATTTTTCCAATGCCAAACAAGAAGATCTAGTGTTTTATTTTCTTTAGTTTTGCATTGAATATTCCTTCATATAGTTCGAAGCAAAAAGAGTTAGTAACAACTACTCCCTCCGTTCCAGTTTATGTGAGTCTATTTTCTTTTTGGTCTGTTTCAGAAAGAATGATCTCTTTTTAAATTTTAAAATAATTTAGCTTAGAAACTTATAATTCTATCCTTAATGAAAATTTTTATAACCACACAAATATTCTGGGCCCTTTTTAATTTGTTTAAGACAACACATTATAAAAACCTTTATTTTTTTTAAACTTCGTACTCAATCAAACAAATATACATAACTAAGATTCTGCTCGTAAGGGAAAACAACTAATATTCCACTTAATATAGTGAAAAGGACAGTGAAAGAAGTGAAAGAAAAGGACAGTGCAATGAGCTAGGGGTCCCTATCGATATGGACTTTTTAAGTTGAGAAAGGCAGTGCAATTTATTACTCATTGGCACGTTGTATGAGAAGTCTCTAGTGATCAGCGTAACTCCACGTCCTGTGTTTTAGGAGTCCTTGTAATCTCAATCGTGTCTATATATAGAGAGACTGAAAAGGTGGAAATATGACTTACAAAATTGTGAAACAGAGAGCAATCTAGCAAAACAGGCCAACAGCTCGTACGTGAAAGGTCTATTCTAATTTATTTATATATTTGATTTTTCATTACGTTAAATGGGAGCCTTGGCATGAAGTTACAGGTTTGAGCCATGGAAATATATTCTTGTAGAAATATAGGGTAAGATTGTATACAATAGACCCTTGTGGTCAGGCTCTTCCCTGAATCCTAGCGTAACTGGTAAAGTTATTGCCATGTAACGAGGAGGTCAAGTATTCGAGCCGTGAAAACAATCTCTTGTAAAATTGTAGGGGAAGACTGCATATAGTAGACCTTTATGGTCAGGTCCTTTTTCGAACCCCGCACATGTGGGAGCTTACGCTGTCTTTTCATCGCGTGCTTTGTCTGTAGTCTAAAAACTCAATAATTGGATTTCGCTTTTTCTTTTTGGATTGATTTGCAGTAGTGTGAAACATATAATGAATACTACTACTATTTCTAAGTCGTCCGGAGTGAGGAAAGGTGCATGGACCGAAGAAGAAGATCTTCTCTTGAGAAGATGTGTTGAAATGTATGGAGAAGGAAAGTGGCATAAAGTTCCTATTAGAGCTGGTAAAAGAAATCTCACAATAATAAACTATTATTTGCATGGTTTTATGAGTTGCATCATTTATGTGCATACATGCAGGTCTGAATAGATGCAGGAAAAGTTGCAGACTGAGGTGGCTGAATTATCTAAGACCACATATAAAGAGAGGTGACTTCTCTTCGGATGAAATAGATCTCATTCTGAGGCTTCATAAGCTTCTCGGCAACAGGCAAGTTCATATTCAAACACTTTAATGGCCATAATCTTCGTTTTAATTTATATGACACTTTTTTCTTAATCTGTTCTTAAAAATGACACTAATATTTTTTATTTGAACATTCTTTAACTTAATTTAAACATTTTATATATCATACCGTTGATGAACACGTGGGTGGAGTTAGAGCAGTAGAAGGGGGTTCAACCCAGCTTGGAGAATCACATTATATATATAAAATTAAATCAGAGGAAATAATTAAAATATTTCCATGCATAACCAAGAGCTTGTGTCTTGAGCATAACCAAGAACTTATGGTAGATACAAAGTTGTATTTGATGATCTCTTTTTTTTGGTTTAGATGGTCACTTATTGCGGGTAGACTTCCGGGAAGAACAGCAAACGATGTGAAAAACTACTGGAACACTCACCTTCAGAGGAAGTTAATTCCTCTTCAGCGACAAGATAGAAAGTGCAGAGTCCTAAAGATAACCGAGAACACCATTGTTAGACCTCGACCTCGGACCTTCTCAAGTGCAAAAAATGTTTCTTTGTGCAGCAACAAAAGTATAACAAAAACTATACACAAGGAAGATGGCAGCAAAGAAAATAATATTTGTGAGAAGCCGATAGGCGACGCACCGACAGACCATGGAATTCAATGGTGGACTAGTTTATTAGATAACTGTAATGAAATTGAGGAAGCAGCAGCAGTTGGGAGCATCAACTTAGAGGAAAATAATAAGTTGCTAAGTTTATTGCATGAGGAAATATCACCACCTATAAATGGTGTCAGCAACTGCATGCAAGAAGGACAAAGTGGTAATTGGGATGACTTTTCTGTTGATATTGACCTATGGGATCTACTTAATTAGCTTAGGTTTAATAAATGGTATGGTAAACTTGTAATAGGGATACATTCTGAGATGTTTGTACTTTGTATCTGATCACGCCCAACTATGCCTTATAAAAAGGACAATGAGGTCGCTGCAAATATAATCCGGTTTACAAGTCCGGAGTCGAATCCCACAGAGAGTTAACCTATCAACTGCTACCTTCAGACCCACCAAGTCTTCAGAACCAGCTTCCCAAATATTCAAATTCTCAGTTGATTGTTCTTTAATAACTAACTTGCAAGTAAATAAAAGGCTATAACTAAATTAGAAGGGTTGTAAACAATTATGAAAAAAAGCTAAGGCAATGATTTCCCCTATTGATGAAATCCCTTCTGTTTATGCTCATACAAATTTACCCACACATCTCTAGCAATCATGAACGCTAATCTTACCGCAAATCTCTCCCAAGTAATCACAGTAATCTACTATTGCACTCTCCCGAGATACACTAGCTTGCTTAAATTCGCACAATTCAATTTAAATTGCACCCAAGGCTTTGTTATTCCTAATCCCGCCTTTAAACCCGCAATTATAGATTCCTCTAATAATCTAGGAGTGGTGTTGTTCAACAATACCCTAAATATGCACTCTTTTCCAAGTTATGCACACTAAATAGGCACAGCTAATTGAGGATCCTGTCAATTAACTACAACGAACACGAAGTTGAACAAATAAAGATTTAACTAGCAATTTGTATTCACATAAACAAGAAGTTCATCACTCAATAGGGTCCATCAAAGCCTTAGACAAGGAATTTAGCTACTCATGACTATGAGAGAATAAACTAAGCTTGAATTCATCATAAAATCAAAAGAGAAGAAGAAAGATGTTGAGAGTACTTTCTCACAATTATTTTTCTTGCTAAGAACCCTTAGAAATTAATAGCTGCCTCTCTTGGGCGAAGTCTAGCGTTTTAAATAGGGTTTAGGTCTAAAAATCCCGTGTTTTACACTTAAGTCCCCGAAGTTTACTGTGCCCACCGCGGTTCTACCGCGGTCGCGGTAGGACCGCGGTCAAACGCCTTCGCGGAATCTTCAACCTTCAGAGACTGCCTTCCACCGCGGTTTCACCGCGGTCGCGGTAGAACCGCGGTGGAACTTGTACCCGGGCATTTTGGCCTGTTTTGAATGGGTTACTTTGGAAATTCAACAATTAGCCTCTTTTCATCAATAATTGACTCCAAAACCGCTCCTTAGCCTTCCTTACACCTATTTCACCTGCAAATCATGTAAAGCACTAATAAGAGCATTTTGTTGTCATTTTCCACATTAAAAGTTCACAAGAAGGTGATTATTCGGTGCGTGATTCTAGTCAAATTCACCTATTATCAACACCCCACACTTAAACCTTTGCTCGTCCTCGAGCAAACTAAACCACACTTCTAGGCCTAACTGCTCAATGCATTGCCCCAATTTATGTCACACCTGCTATTATCAAAGATTGACCTAAGCGATGCACAATCATATCTCAAATGCAGACTCTCATACCAAGACACACTTGTGCTCACTCTAATTACTCTAACAGAAGTGAAGACTCACTTTTTCTTCCAGAGTCACATGCCCTCACATAAACAAAATTTGAGAGAAGTTCCACACACACATAAAATTCAACAATAAGGAACCATATATAGAAAGAAATCAACTCACTCTCAGCA